TTGTTTGTTATCGTTTAAGAAAGTTTTTTTTTCTTTTACAAAGTTATATTTATTATAATTAACATTAAAAATATATATGCGAAAAAAAAGCAAGCCGAAAGTCTCAGGCACGATAGATTTTGCCTGCCTCATAAAAATATGATAGGAAAAGTAGAAAGGAAGACAGAAAGAACAAAATATATGGCTATGAAATATTTAGTTAAAATCTTCTTATTGATTTTTCTTGCTTCTTACATGAACAAGGATGTATGTCAAAAGTTAACCTTCAGAAATTAAGAGGCTTTATTAAGAAGTTCATGATAGTGGTGTCAGAACCTCACCCAATTACATCATGATAAACATGAATATTTTTTTTTAAATATCTGTTTTGTAAAGAGTTTGTTATTTGATGTGTTTTACAAGATTTTTATGAGCTACAAAATTTATGCTGAGCGAATAAGTGCAGGCAAGTATAATAATTATTAGTCACAATAATATCAACATAACCAAGAGCATTTCAACTTGGTGGTGACGTCAGATGTTTTCGATAGTGTTGATGTGATAATAAGTGTTATACGTAACTATTAGCGGTGTAAACTTTATCTGTAAATGTGGAATTTGCAACTTGGCCCACCATGTTGTATCGTCAGCTCGTGGGCAAACAATGCCCTTTGTTCAGTAAACCTGTTAAACTAGAGGCCTATTGCAATTTATTTGACAATCATAAGGCTACGAGAAAGCAATAATTGAATACAGTAACTTAGATACATTATAATCTTTGGACACATTTACAAAAAATTCTCGCAAAGTCGTTAGCAGTTATTAATTGATTGTCATTTTATTGATAGTGTAATTCCATACTATTAGATATTGACTAAATAATGCGCTATAGTACGTTAGTAAATTAGTTATAATATATAAGGCAACAATTATTATTTTACATGTAAATGAAAGCTGCCTGTTTCACTTTGTAGCCTAAGTTTAATTGGGAATACAATAAAACGCTGAGATTTATTTATTTATGCTTTTAGCACCATACCCTCCGTTGGGGAAAAGCAGGGCGTGTGTGGGACTCCCGGAGGTCTACACACTAAACAACGTCGTGGCCACGCCTACCTAAACTTATCATATTAAGTATTCTTGTGGGCAAGCTATGCTTCGGCACTTATGAACCGATGTTAAGCAGGTTTTACATAGGTTTTCAGCTAGTGAGTGTGGTCCCCCTCCCCTCCCCAACCCGATTCTGAGAGGCGAGTGACTCTTGAGTTGCAGGTGACCATGGGCGGTGGTCAGACGGGTTACCTGATGGTAAGTGAATACTAAGTAGTCACTATCAGGGAATACGTCTGCTTGTTAACAGAACACCGTTAACATTAAAACGGCGTAAGGGGTCTATGGACCCCCGGGTGGAATGAAGTACACATTTTTCTGCTCCCATCTGCTCAGAGCGTGTAACGCGCGCTAAGGAACTTCGTTCTAAAAAAATAGACTCGACCAAATTGCCGTTGACTTATGATATGAAGCATTTTCAAATCTTTACCTTTTAGTCCCTTTTCAAATGTAATTGATCGAGATATCACTGTCTTTAGTTTATTTTTATTCAGGTTTCCAGTATATATTTTGACTTGCCTAGGAAATATAATTTCAATACAATGACAGGTCAATTAATACTGGTTAATGAAATAAAACAAGATACACAAAACGGCCGCAATTCGACCGCCAGAGGATGCTGTTGTTTAAATTTAAAAAGAGGGAAAAATAAATTTAAATTTGTTTTTGAAATACAGATTTTTTATTTTTAAATAATGTTTTTGGTTTTTAAATAATGTCCCTAATTATTTAACCTAACTTTTTAAGATACTTAGCAAATTTATTTGAAATTGAGATATTCAATTAAAACCATATCAATTTTACATATTATTATGGCTACAAGAAATTATTGTTGTGATAGAAAAAATAGAAAAAAAAATAAAAACATTAAAAGGTTCTTGACTCAAAATTCCTAAAAAAAAAGTAAATCAGAATCGAATCGGTCTATCGGGTGAGGAGCTATGCTACCAGAAACAGTCCCACAGCACACGTTCAACTTTTAACACCCCTTCTCGGGCTAAAACAGCCATTGGAAACTTTGCAAAATTTTGTTAAATACTGACGCATATGGTTTCCCCGAAATTTAAAAGGTAAAGTTAAAGTAGTTCCGCCATAACGCTTTGTGTTCAGTATAAAAAGTGATGGTAAAGTGATCGTTGAATTAATAAAGTCAGTGCAGCGCTCTTGGACAGTACTCCCTACACTATTGAAATAATCTCAGGTAGGTCTTACCTATAATATCACTTTACATTCACCATCTTTTTCGGTAAAGTTTTTTTTTAATAATTTATACAAATAAATAAAACTACTATAAACCTAAAAGATTCTTAGGCAATTACCGAAAATATAAAAATCTTTTATTTTATAAGGCAAGTGATTTAGGATTTTTTTATACTAAACTATTATTATGTAAATTAAACTATTATTATTAAAATAAAAAAAATAGTGCAATGAGAATGACTCAGTTGAATTAAAAATATTTTTTAGAATTTAGTAAGTAGTAGTTTAGTAAGTGAGACTCTTATTCGAAAGTAAGGGACAGTAAGAGTATTTACTTTATAATTATTAAGTTATGGATGACAAGGTTAGTGAATAAATTCATTGGATTATTCCTAGGTCATTATAGAATAAGCGGCCAAGGTTTTCAATATTCACGAGGATCTAGAACTGATTTATTTATGTTACAGGTTAATTTTTCAGTGTAATTTTATGTAAAAACTATTTAGTTTCCTGGTTTAAAATAAATGTCGTTGTTTACTCAATAACAATTAAATTTAAAAAATCAACGCCATAAATTTCTAATTTTCAAGTTATTGAATTAATACATTGCTACATTTTAATGTATGAATATTATTATGATTTGGCATCAAATGAATTAAGTTGTTGTGGTTTTGGAAAAGCAAATATTTAAGTAATTGAACCCATTTCTTTACGAATTTTAAATTACTTAATTATAAAATTTACTCCGCTCAGACGACAGTGATTTTAGGTTGAAGGAAACTCTGAGTACAAACAATGTGTAAATAATTTTTATAATATCAACTGTATAAAATTGTGTTTGATTCATTATTTGAAACAATTTTAATAGTTGAAATATCAATACAATTAAGTGTAATATTTGACATCTACTAATTATAAACTTGTACACTTTATTTTCAATTAATATTAAAAAATGAAGTTGAGGTATCATTTGTGATTTAGGTATTAATTAAATGACTTTGAAATATTCGCCTTAAATGATACATAATTATTGATACGGAAATTAACTATTGATCCCATAGATTCCCATATGAATAATATAAGGTATTTGTGTCAAGTTTGGTTAGATTGTTTACAATAAGTTTAATGACCTCACAGCGAAGTTTTTGATTGTATACCTAGATCACATTTTTTTCGTAGTTTCGAATGTACACTTAAAATATGTACCAACTTACTAGTAAGGTTAATATATATCATTTTCCCCTAAAACACCATCAGACGAAAGTACAAATTAGGTTGAATGAAATACATGCGCCTTTGAAAGCTTTTGTCAGTTATGACCTATAGTGTTCTTGAGTATGATAGTAGTCACAATTAAAACATACTTTTAACAGAATGTATTGTTTTACAGTTGCTCGATTTAAACTTGTTTAACTGGAATCACAGCTATTTTAAAATGTTCACTCGAAGTTTCCATTATGCGCTTGAATTAAATGGGTAACCCATTGCGATGTAATTTTATTGAAATTGAGAAACAAACCAATTAGTACGTTTATAATTACCAACTGCATACAATTGAACCGATTGAAGGATCATTATTAACACAGAGATGTAAGATTCGCGGTCAAGGCAAACAATTTACATTATGACGACGTCTTTGACGAAGATGCAGTTATTCATTTTTTTATTAAAATTATGTAAAGTAGATACAATTCTGATAGATATCGACTTATAAGTAAAGCATTTGCTACAAAGTAGAATAGTTCCTATACCTACTACTCTAACTTTTAAACTTTCGCGTTACATATCTTAGATTAAATAAATAAGTTAAGATAGTACTCAGTGAATAAAGCAGTGAGATCAATTAAAGATACGATTTGGCATGTAGTTACACAATTACACGTACAACAAAACTACGCCTCAAAACGTCATCAAACATGTCAACAATATTTACAAATAAAAATGTCGATTTTTAAAAGCTGATGAAAGATTCTAAAAATCAAACTACAAGAGAAAGAAAGAGACAATTAATATTTTCAATAAAATAAAATTATGATGGCAGCACTACATACATACATGTTTATAAACCGGCGGCGTTACTTCGTTCTTAGCCAAGCTCCATCTTAACTTTTAAATGTAAACCGAAAATTGAATCTTTAATCTGCTAGTCTTAGTAATGCTTTATTATTTTACTACGGAAATACCTTCTTATGATATTTGTGAGAACGAGAGTAGATCGGAACTGAATTTTAACGTAACTTTTATTACGAGAATTGGCTTTCTGGTTAAATCGTCAGGCAATTCCTAGGTACTAAATTCCTAGCGTGAACGCGTTAATTTCCGTAAACTAATATATATCCACTACTGCTTATTAATATAGTGAAAACTTATCTTTACTTCTTAATTTTTACTTCCATAGGAGTTTGTGTTTTACCACATGACGGCATTCGTTGGTTTTACATAGATTACTTTATTTTATGACCGTTTTCATCTAGGGGAGGTTAGATAAAACATATAGAGATTAAGGTACATTGTTTAAATCACACTACCTACTGGTCGTTGAAATTAAATTGGCATTACTTGAAGTAATTTTTGAAATTCAATTTTAAAACATATTAAACAACTTATTTTTGGGAACTACTTATATCTAGACATTGTTGTGTTGTGTTGTTACAAACACAAGAATGTCTGTGTTAGTAGACACAATTAAATATTAAGATTATAGTTTCAGAATGAAGTGCATTATCATTTTGTGCCTGTTCGGCTTGGCGGCTGTTGCGTATGCTAGACCAAATGGCACCTACACCGACAAATATGACAGCATCAATCTGGATGAAATTTTAAAGAACCGTCGTCTTCTCATTCCTTACGTCAAATGCATACTCGACGAGGGCAAGTGCACACCTGAAGGCAAGGAACTTAAATGTGAGTATAGTTAGGAGTGTCTGTGTACTTATGAATATTTTGCAAAGATTAGCTTGAAACTGTGTAAAATTATTTGATTTATATATACTAGTTATTCCTAATAAATATCTTCCTTTGTTTTTTCTTTTATGTACATAATATGTGGATTATATTGTAGCAAAACTAGCAGATCATATAGTTATCACACCCTTACTTGTGCATATTTATATTTTACCGAATTTTTTAAGGAGACTTATGTCCAGCAGTGGGCTATTAAAGGCTCTAAATTTTTTAACACTTAGTCGTACATCAGGTACTTTTTAAGTTTAACTTATCTTGCTTTATTTTTACATGAACCTATACTTTTTTCAGCTCATATCAGAGAAGGTTTAGAAGAGGACTGTGCGAAGTGTACCCCTACCCAACGTTCTGGAACTCGAAGAGTCTTGGCGCACTTGATCAACCATGAGCCCGAATACTGGACTCAACTGAAAGCCAAATACGACAGCAGCGGCACATACGCTGCTAAACATGAAAGTGAACTCAGGGTGCTAAAAGCTTAAAAAAAACTGAAGTTAAAACTAAAAGCTTAATAAAAAAACAAATACGTCTTGGATAAATCAGTTTTAAGTTCAACTGAATTTTTTGTATCTGATGTTAGCTGATAAATAATGCAAGGCTTGTGAATTAAGCCAGGTGTGTAAAATGATCTAGTATTGAATATAAATTATTCGTTATTAGAGGAATATGTCATTTTATTTCGTATCTTGGACCAAGGCAGTAACGTACATCTTATCTACTATTTATTTATTTCCGTCCGCCAACGATTATTACACTAAACATTACAGAATTAACTTAAAGACTAAACATGTGTGAGTGCAATAATAAATTACAGGCTAACACCACATGCACTTAAAATAACGGTTTTACAAGTTTAAAATAAAATAGGAGATACGAAAACGATTAATTTAACGTGATTTAAAATAAGTATAACAATAAAATAACTATTAATTAATTAGCAATTAAATGAAATGAAATTAATCCTTTTGTTTTATGTAATAAAAGAAAACATTAAAATAACAATCAAGATGAGGTTCAATAAAATGATTTACAATTCATTTAAAGTGATTTATACGAGGCATGCCCTTTAAGTTTTGTCGTTTAAAGAAAAAAAACACAACTAGAACCCTATAGTACTTTTTATTGTTTTTCAAAGTATTCACCACGTAGCTTAATACACTTTTCCATTCGCTCAAACCAGTTATTATAACATTTATTCCACTCTAAAGTGGTGGTGTTCAAAATGGCTAACTTGAAAGCGTCGACTGCTTCTTCACCGGACTGAAACCTTTGACCACGAAGACTTTTCTTAACTTTAGGAAATGTAAAGAAATCGTTAGGGCTTAGGTCAGAACTGTATGGAGGATGGTCAAGAATTTCTACTTTTTCCTGCTTCTAATACTCAATCATTTGACGAGCGCTGTGTGAGCGTCGTGGTGCAGGATGATGCGTCGCTTTGAGTTAGATTTTCGAAGTTCGGCGATGACTTGTGGTAAACAAACTGTGGTATACCACTCTGCGTTAACCGTTCTACGATCTTCAAGTGCAATAGTCGCAACACGGCTGGTTTTTTCCAACGAACGTGGCCACCATATTCTTTGAAGTGCTTCGAGAACGAACAACTTTAGTCGGCTTTGGCTCGTCTTGAAAGACCCAGATTGTAGATTGTTGTTTGGAATCAGGATCGTAGGCATAGATCCAAGATTTGTTACCTCTGATAATGTCGTAGACGTGATTTGACTCTCCTCGGATGAACAGCAGATGCGGTATCAAACGGCAAACTAGCTTTCTCACACCAAGCGCTTCATGCAAGATCTTTTGAATAGTTGTCCCTGAGATGCCTAATAGAGCCTCTATCTCTCGATATGTCACATGACGATCTTCGAGAATTAGTTGTCTCACAGCAATGATGTTATCTTCAGTGAAGGCGGATTTTGGGCGTCCTTCGCGAGATTTGTCAGTAACACTAGTATGTCCACGCTGGAATTCTAAATACTAGCGTTCGACAGTCCGCAGACATGGGGCTTCAATACTGAACACAGATGTTAGCTCTACAAAACACTGAAGCCGTGTCAGGCCTCTTCTAAAGTCGTAGAAATTATTGCACGAACATTTTCCTTAGAGAGATTCATTTTCGTACGTAAGCTGACAGATTCCAATCGACGCTGTGACTAAATAATAGCATTAATCCTAATACTTTCACATTCACACATTCGAATATAGAACAGTTCCAAATTCAAAATTGCCGAGAAATATGGAAACGACAGAACTTAAAAGGCATGCCTAGTACTTCAGTTATTCAAGTGAGCACTTCGCCAAATATAATAGTATGCATTTAAACACTTATCAAGTTAAAATTATATTATGGAACAAGTAAGTTAGGATAAAATAAAATAAATAGTTACTAATGTTATCATGGTGTAAATCAATCAGATCACTGCAGTCATTAAAATTTTTGCACTATCTGGGTATAAGTAAGTTAGTACCTGATATCGTTCTCTTCAATGGTGGGCACAGTGGTGTAATATTGTTTCGAGGATATCTAGACGGAGCCTTCAACCTAATGAGAGTCAATAAATCGCGACACTCGATTAGTTTTCTCACGATTTTAAATAAAAATAATGCATCGAACACGTCTCTGCGCATAGATAGTGGGTGCATCCTAAAACACTGCAGTCGGTTGCTATAAGTGGTCAAATGTTTAACTTTGCCTGAAGATAATGTAAGGTACGATAGAAAGCGCTTCTGAACGTGAAAGTGAGGTCTCTACACAACACAACAGTATTCCAGGATAGTCTTCACGAGACTATTGTATAACAGAATTTTTGTGTTGCTTTTGAACTCTCTAGTATTCCTCATAACAAAGCCTAACATTTTAAACGCTCTTTTAACTATATCATCGATCCTCTTAACACTGGATTATCCCGTTTATAGGCGCATTGTTCTCTCAGTAAGTCGTTTAGTAATCATTATCATACTAGTTAAGACAGATTCAAGTCGGCTGAATTTCAAGGTGACAAGGACTTAGGACGGCTCCTTGTCAAGACCGTGAAATTAATTTACCATCAATTATGAGGAAAATGATGACGTCAAGTTCTTCGCGTTCGCAACATATCGAACACAAAATTTCTTATAGAAAATCTATGTAAAATAAGTGTGGCGGCGAAGTGTGATTAAAAATAATAGTTTAAAAAAACTAAAAAACACGCCTTTTATAGAAAACCAAACTAAAAAAATAGAATATAAATTTGAAAAAAAGCGTTGGGTGCCTGTTGTCAATAGTAAAAAGCACCCCACGCTTTTTTCAAATTTATATTCTATTTTTTTTTTAAATTAGTATATTGTCATCGGTCCTCGATATATCTACAAAGTTTGAACGAATTCTGACCGTTTAAAGTCAGACAAAATGCAAGTATACAAACAAACATACAAGTGAAGCAAATATAAAGCGTGTAAAAAAAACAGAAAGGGTTTGTTGTCTTAGGCCGTGTATCGCCACTTTTGATAGTGTTCGGGTGGACTCCTCCCGTCACCTCCAGGCTATTTAGATCGTTGATGAGGAATCGTTTCTGAACATTGCAAGTTATAGAATCCTTAGGAGTACCTCGAATACATTGCATTAGGCTACCTGTTTTTTTATTTGAAGTTTACAACCACTGTAATAAAATGATAGACAAACGATGCATGTTCCCTCAACTAAGTATAAATGGTTATTGAGTTTTGATATTGAACATTCCGAATTGACATTATAATCCTATATAAAGTGAATATATAAGGAAAAGAAAAAAATATGTTTGTTTGTTTATATGTGCATACATGTGCCATTCACCTCTAAGCTATTAAAGCAATCACCCTTTTTTTTTTTTTTTTTTCCGTGCGGAAATCCCCTCGGATACCACTGTCGGTGGCATGTCGGACTCGAACCGACTAAAACCGCACGCCGTCTCGGGTACTAATAGCCGGGGAACCAGGTATACCCTAAAAAGGAAGTCCCTGGTGCCATGACATACCTCGGGTCATCTACAGACGAGTAGACGACCCCCCCCGTGTGGGAACCCCATGTTCCCTGTGCTCCCTGGAAGCGGCGGTGACAGATGGCTTCACCTGTCACCCCCAGGCCTGCGCTTATGGAGGACGGAGGTCGTTCTGCGACCTCCGGCGCCTGAATCGCCTGCGGTACCTGGCCCGTTCCCGGGCCTGGCGGGCCGGGAGAGTCCTAAACCTCTCCCGGTCCCGCTCCGCCGTCTCCTTCGCGAGCATAACTTGCTCGCAGAAGGAGACGGCAGAGTTCCACTCACTCTCGCTCCGCACGATAGCCGCAATCAGGCTATCGAGCGAGAGAACTCCCACTCTGATGGCCGCCACGAGGTCTCGCCTCTGCTCAACCCACGCCGGGCACTCTGCCAGCGTGTGGAGAGCCGTGTCCACGGTCTGGCCATCGCAGTGGTGGCACCCAGGCGTTGGCTCCTTGCGGATCAGACACAGGTGATCCCCGAAACATCCTTTCCCAGTGATCACCTGCGTCAGTCGGTATGAGAGGGTCCCGTGACGCCTCTCGAGCCAATCCTTCATAACGGGTCTTACCGCCGCGATGACGGCGTGCCCGGCGCTCGGTTGCCCGAGTCGTTCCTTCCACTCCCCTATGATGACCTGGCGGAGTTGGGTTTTCCGGTCATCGATTTCGCGAGTAAAGCAATCACCCTAAAATTAAAACTTAGGGTGTCGTTTATTTACAAAGAGGAAGAAATATCTCGATGAGTGGAGTAGATCGAAACAGACTAAAGAGAGAGAGAGAGAGAGATACTGTTTAGGAAGGATAACTTGTTTAAGTTGTTAAATTTACATTAACTCGCTTCCCTGAGAGTAAAGGTTATATGAGTGGTGATAATATTAAGTTTAGTTTTTTCCTCGTAACAGGTAAAAAATTGTGTTATAATAAGATAAGAATACAAATAATTTAAATGTAAAGTTTATTTATCGATTAAAATAAAATCATTGCATTTATCTTTTACAAAGCTTCGCTCTTCTTGCTCGCAGCTTCGCTCGTGTGATTATTTCCTATTTCGTGTTTTAACTATGCAAAATAACAGACCTCCATACAACCTTTCATCCCTTAGTGGTGAAATTTCCAAAATTCTTTGATAAGGGGTACTAATAACATAAAAAGCATTGCTGCCATAATTTCAAGCGTTGATGAATTAGTGAGTCATCTAAGGCAAGTAATTATCTATCTAAATACATCCCGTTAAGGATAAGATAAGATAAGATAAGATAAGATAAGATAAAGTTTATTTTTCTCCTATCGTGTTGAAGACGTGTGCTCCGGAGCTGGGACCGGTTTTAACGAGCCTTTTTCGTCTCTCCTACTCCCAAGGCGTCGTCCCGAACTCCTGGAAGGTAGCGTTTGTGCACCCGATCCCTAAAAAAGGTGACCGCTCTGACCCGTCCAACTACAGGCCTATAGCCATAACTCCTTTGTTCTCTAAGATTATGGAATCCATAATCAACAGCCAGCTCCTCCGGTACTTGGATAATCACCAGCTACTCAATGACCGACAATATGGTTTTCGCCGGGGTCGCTCTGCTGGTGATCATCTCGTCTTTCTAACACACCGGTGGACATAGGCGATCGAGACCAAAGGAGAGGCTTGTGCGGTTGGTTTGGACATAGCGAAGGCCTTTGATCGGGTCTGGCATAAGGCGCTTCTCTCGAAGCTCCCTTCTTTTGGGCTTCAAGAGAAATTCCCGTGTAGTTGGGTCACCAGCTTCCTTGCGGACAGAAGCATTAAGGTCGTTGTCGACGGGCAGCGATAATCACTTTCCATCAGATGACCCGTCTGCTCGTCTGCCACCTCTAACATAAAAAAAATATAGGTTACTCCTTATATAGCTACCTGGAAGTGATAAAATAAAAACAAACAGACAGACAGAGATAAAATTTAAAGTGGTTTTTAGGCATACAACGTGCAAATAACCGCGTGAGCATGAAAAAAACCTATTAATTTGACATTACAAACAGACACTTCAATTTTATATATTTGTATAAATAGATATTTTTCTGAATGTCATTAAGTAGTAACAATATTGAAATAATCCATTTGTTTTACATGCGTTTATAATAAAAGATAACATACCTGACCGAGTCATAGTCATCATCTAATTCTTTACTAATTTATTCCTTTTACCTAATTTAATTTGAGGTCACTGCATCATTTAGGTTGAAGATAATATTGCAGAGGAGTTTGGTTCGTTGCTTTTGTAACCAGCTGCTTACTGAAGTTCAATCCTGCTTGTCAATGTAATCGTTTCGGAATCGGCATTAAGGAAGAAGGTATATTGAAGAAAAGAACATACGTAAGGCACAAGTCTAGGATGGGGCAACGGGGTCAGACTGCTGTGCTGCGGTTCGAGAATCAAACTATCTCCATACCTTATTTCATCTGAATCGGTTCAGCGGTTCCCCATACAAACTTCCACAAACCATTTCACCCCCGTAAAGGATAATTTCTAGGATAAAAACTATCTCTATACCAAATTTCATCTAAAACGGTTCAGCGGTTTAAGCGTGAAGAGGTAACAGATAGACAGACAGACACACTTTCGCTTTTTTAATATTGGTATGGATTTATATTTTATGCACAAAATTGTACGAAGGTGGACTCAATCATCAACAACCTTTAATTGTCCACTGCTGGACATAGGCCTCTCCTTAGGAAGGAGGTTTTGGCCTACTATACCACGCTGGCCAGACGGGTTGGTATAGGGTTTGTTTCAAGTTTTCCTTCTCTCTGCAGTGCTGTTGTCCTGCGTATTTTGCTCCCTTAGTCGTGACCGTAGTCCTTAGTGTGGTGACGGATTAAGAATACAGAGTGTCACCGCCCCTATTCATCCCGTGGGACTCAATGCCATAGTCATTGTCTGCCAGTCTGCTTTTAGGGTTGTGTTGAAATAAGTGATTAAGGGGGCTACAATTAAGTAAATAAGGTGATCTAAAGTAAATATAAAAGTCAATTTAGAAATGAATATAGACGAAAAAATAAATGTAGAAATGGTTAGAAAGATAATCTGCTAAATGATGAAAATAATTTACCATCAATTATGAGGAAAATGATGACGTCAAGTTCCTCGTGTTCGCAACATATCGAACACAAAATTTCTTATAGAAAATCTATGTAAAATAAGTGTGGCGGCGAAGTATGATTAAAAATAATAGTTTAAAAAAAACTAAAAAAACACGCTTTTTATAGAAAACCAAACTAAAAAAATAGAAAATTAATTTTAATAAATTTGAAAAAAATCGTTGGGTGCCTGTTGTCAATACACCCAATGCACCCTACGCTTTTTTCAATATTTTTTTTAAATTAGTGTATTGTCATCGGTCCTCGACATATCTACAAAGTTTGAACGAATTCTGACCGTTTAAAGTCAGTCAAAATGACGCCCAAAGGAGTCGGTTACAAACAAACATACAATTGAAAGGGTTTGTTGTCTTAGGCCGTGTATCGCCACTTTTGATAGTGTTCGGGTGGACTCCTCCCGTCACCGTGACAGGCTATTTAGATCGTTGATGAGGAATCGTTTCTGAACATTGCAAGTTATAGAATCCTTAGGAAGACTTTTGTACCTCGAATATATTGCATTAGGCTACCTGTTTTTTTATTTGGTGCGGCCCTGAAGTTCTGAAGTAAGATAATAAAAAGATAGACAAACGATGCATGTTCCCTCAACTAAGTATAAATGGTTATTGAGTTTTGATATTTGTTATATGTGCATACATGTGCCATTCACCTCTTAGCTATTAAACCAATCACCCTAAAATTAAAACTTAGGGTGTCGTTTATTTACAAAGAGGAAGAAATATCTCGATGAGTGGAGTAGATCGAAACAGGCTTAAGAGACAGAGAGAAAGAGAGAGAGAGAGACAGAGACTGTTTGGGAAGGATAACTTGTTTAAGTATTAAATTTACATTAACTCGCTTCCCTGAGAGTAAAGGTTATATGAGTGGTGATAATATTAAGTTTAGTTTTTTCCTCGTAACAGGTAAAAAATTGTGTTATAATATAAATGTAAAGTTTATTTATCGATTAAAATAAAATCATTGCATTTATCATTTACAAAGCTTCGCTCTTCTTGCTCGCAGCTTTGTTCGTGTGATTATTTCCTATTTCGTGTTTTAAACTATGCAAAATAACAGACCTCCATACAACCTTTCATCCCTTAGTGGTGAAATTTCCAAAATTCTTTGATAATTGGTACTAATAACATAAAAAGCATTGCTGCCATAATTTCAAGCGTTAATGAATCAGTGAGTCATCTAAGGCAAGTAATTATGTATCTAAATACATCCCGTTAAGGATATATAAACTTAAAAAAATCAACCAAAAAACGGAATTTTATGTGGTTTTAGATGTTGTGATGTAAACTGGTTCCTCGAATTGAATGAATAAGACGTCAACTCAAACTAGTTCTGGGCTACATTAGGCTTTTGGTATAAAAAGTGATCGAGGAGTGGTCGTTGAACTAATAAAGACAGTGCTGTGATCTTGAACAGTTCTCCCACACACTTGTTAAAAACTCAAGTAAGTCGTTATCAGTTAATTTGTAATTTGTTGACTAGGATAGAATTATAACTTTGCATTACAAGATTAGTTTCTGACAGAAATATTCTTCAATAGAAGTCTGTGCGTAGCTATATTACATTTTTACATCATCCGTTTTTGTTTACGGATCACAAATGTTTGCAAATGTAGACTGGACTGCAACTAGAACTAGAATTACCTAAAAAGTTAATGATAGGCTGTATTTTTGTGTATTTTCCTTCAGGTAAGATCGATCTTAGCTAAAGGATCTAGTGGGCCTGAACTGACAGGATTTCGTGTGGTTTTAGTTGGTTCGAATCTGACAAACGTTTTGACCCTTGGCTCAGGTGAGGTGACTGTAGGAGTTTCCAAACCCAAGAATACTTGATTAAACAATATTCACCAGCCAATATGCTAAGGTGTTTGAAAAACTTAGCAAATATATCAGTAATTAAATTATTAATCTTCAATAACCAAATAAATTATAATATAATACCAATATAACATAACACCCTATAACGGTAATTTTATAATGGAAAATATTCAGTCATTGGTCACAACATAATTTTCTATTGGCCTTCAGATTCCTTATAAATTTAACGCCTTTTATCATACGCGTTTAGATATCTTAGATTCTTGTTAATTATCGAGTACACACAAAATGTTTTTATGTTAATTGCTGTGTATGAATTTGGGATTTTTTTAAACAATTAATCTCGACGGACGGTCGTTGACCCCGCATTTTAAACCTCGAACATCTTCTAAAATATTATTTTTATGATATGCTGTAGAGCTATTTAAATCTACATGAAAAACACAACATATTTAACGTATTTAAGTGCACAAAAACATGTTTTTTTTAAATCTCATTAATGATTTTTTTAAATCTTTATTTGTTCAGCACTTTTATTACAAAATAATATGTTAGCCCCATCGTGGCTTATTCTGATATACTAACTATGTTATGATAGGAGACAGAGGAAGTCGTTTTTGTGCCAATATCTCAAATAGGACTAAAGCCGCATTTGAAGTAGGGTTACTTAGAATGCTAATGAATAGTCCTACATCGTACACTTTAAGATTAAATTTGAACATCAACGAGTTCCTCCATCAACGATTCAGCTTGCTCGTTACCCTGAAGCCCAATATGATAAGGAACCCATTGCAAACTTGGTCTTCCTAAATGAATTCATGAATTTGCTTTAGCACTACATAAGCTATCGCACTGAGCAATATGCTGCAAAGCACTAAAACCATCAGTTAAGATAACTATTCTGTCACTATTTAGCGAAATAGATTAACTATTATTGATAGTTATAAACCTGTCTTTAAAATTACACCAGTATAGTGGGAATTGTTTAAATATGTGGAATGATGACTTTTCGAAAAAAAACATTTTTTATCTCAAACTCCTGTAGTGATGTTCTATTAATGTGTAATGATTCAGTGATGATTCTATTAATTTTAATATACAGTTGTGCCTGTGCATGAATTTTCATAAAGCGCTATTTTCTAAGAGGGCGCAGTCTAACGTTAAGTTGATAATTTTAGGATGAGGAGCGTCGTTATTTTCTGCTTGTTCGGTCTAGTGGCTGTAGCGTACGCTAGACCTAACGGCACCTACACTGACAGATACGACCATATAGATTTGGATGGAATATTGACTAATCGCCGTCTTTTAGCCGGCTACATCAAGTGTACGCTTGACATGGGCAAGTGCACACCAGAAGGCAGAGAACTCAGATGTGAGTATAGTTAATTATCCTTCTTTTCCACTTATGTAAAAAAAAGGTCATGTTTGAATCTTATCTTAACTGTTTTTTTTACATTAGTCCAGATCTAGGCACACTTAATAATATTAAATTTTGCAGTTAACTTTTACATATCAACCATAGAAATAAATTGTAGATAAATTACATCCAGACACAGAACAAATTATCCTGCTCATCACACCATTATTTGTCCCGGGTGGTAATCGAAGCTACCACCTCTGACTTGGTACTCAAGATCACTAAACCAGTAGATCAACAGTCTAGTTAAATCGTACATTTTAAGATACATGACAAAATAATTTGGAAGATTCCATTTCAATGTATAATAAGCTTACTTTTTACCTACTGTCTTCAAGTCTTTATCAACATCTAAGCCCGTTTTTTATTATCATCATGAAGCAGTGACAGTACTAAATGTTTATGAAATTTAGTTTACCTAGTCTTTAAAATCATATATAAATACTTAATATTACTATACAGTAAGTAAGTACGTACTCTTCATACCTACGTACTTTCATACCGTATAGTTTTTGCCCATTTTACTGCTTCTTAATGTGTTTCTAGATTATACTTTAGGTGTGCAATAAAGAATATCTATATATCTAAAACCATGTAGGTACTTACTGAAGTCTTTACATTTGACATGTTTAACATGTTTCAGCTCACCTCAAGGAGGGCATTGAAGAGAACTGTGCGAAATGTACCCCTGCCCAACGTTCTGGAACCCGACGAGTCTTGGCACATTTGATCAACCACGAGCCCGACTACTGGAACCAATTGAAAGCAAAATACGACAGCACGGGAAAACACTCAGCTCAGTATGAAAGGGAACTCAGACAGCACTAAGGTTTGACTTTGAGGCCGTAAAACTTTTTTTTTGCAGTGGTATAAAAATGTTTTGATGCATATTAGAAATTTACACTGATACTACATTTTTTTGTTTCCTTCCTTCCATGACATTATATATTAAAATTTCAATTCTTATTTGAACACTTTCTTAGAATTCACTTATGGTGTTTTCTCATAAATATTGCAAGGCTTGTGAATTACCTGTATCTAGTGTAGTGTTTTAAATATAAAAATTATTCTTATTGAACTCTGTAATTTTATTTTGTTTTTGGCATTTCGTCTTAAGTATGTAAGTTATTGTGGCTTGAACATAAAGATCGTCTTTTAATCAATTATCAGTGCGTTCAAGGTGTTGAAATTGTTAAAAGTGGAAATCTTTATTAAGTGACTTCTGAGAAACAATTATATCTGCCAAAGTTTAATATAGATAACAACTGTAATACTTCCTTAGTCATTTTCTAGTAGAACATTTATCAAAATTGCAGAACATGTTGCAAATACATGTCCGTACTAATTAGAGTTTGTCTGGTGCGGCGGTCTAAATTCGATCATTTTGAATGTCTTCTTTTATTGACCAGTGTTACTAGAACGACTATTGTATAGACTTTTGTACTATGACTGGTCAATATATGTACCAGAGCCTTATTGCCTAGAGCAGGGATACCCAAACAATTTTGGGGAAGAGACCCTTTTTCTAAAATGAACTGAAACCTCAGACCCCCGTATCCAAATTACACGCTTATCGACAAATGCACGCGCAAATGCACGCTTATCGACTGGTGAAGTTTTTAAAAGTACAACAATGATACTTCCTAGTAAAATATTAGTCATTCTAATAAAAAGTTGGTACATGTAAAACCAACAACACAGTATCTTGAAAAATTCAAATAAAAACTTATGTTCATTAATAGGGGTCTATTTTTAGACCTTGTCGACTCCCTTTTTTTTTTTTTTTTTTTTTTTTTTTTTTTTTTTTTTTCCGTGCGGAAATCCCCTCGGATACCACCTGTCGGTGGCATGTCGGACTCGAACCGACTAAAACCGCACGCCTTCGCCGGGTACTAATAGCCGGGGAACCAGGTATACCCTAGAAAGGAAGGCCCTGGTGCCCACCTTGTCGACTCCCTGAAATCAGTTTTCGTTTATGTTGACCCCTGGGGAACCGATTTCGACCAGGAGTCGATATCGAACACTTTGGGAGTTCCTGATCAAGAGGTTTAACTTGTTACGTACTTTTTAACTTAATAATTTAGGTTTCTGCACTGATTGTACATAAAGGTAACCTTAAAGTTTTCTAATTTTAATATTTACATTTGCCTACATAGTGCGTACACAGAATTGTCTTTACATATTAATATACGTATATTGCGAAACCTTCAAGAAAACGGTGTACTGCCATTACACAGGCCAGCATCACATTTGTAACTCTTGACTTGAGTTGCAGTTGTCACTTAGTAAGTGGCATTGTGCGTTTTCATTTAATAACTCAAGTACAACGCATCGGAGATGGAAGCATGATGCGAATGATTTTTAGAGAATTTGATGAGAAATAAAATGAAATCAGTCCTGTTTCTCTGCAATCAACAGTATTCGAGTTATACAACTGCTTTTTTTTTAAACTTCCGCTTTTCTTTTAACAACTATCTGTAGTTCATTAACAAGAAAAATTCTTGTAGATATTAGTATATATACAAGAAATTCTTATAAATAAGTATATATAAAAAAATATACGCAAATTACGAGTTTTCCATTTTAAATACCTTGATCAAAATTTATAAATGAAATATTTGTCAAACAACATAAGGAATTTAGTTCCTATCGGGTGTCCCACGCCACAACACGGCTTCTTTTTACTTACTGTGTGCCATTGAGTTAATAAGTATTATATCAATGCTGTGTGCCCATTTAAATGAGTATCTCCGGCGCTAGGAGTCAGTCAATTTTCTTTGTATTGGATAGACCTTTAGGAGTGGAGCGGTGACTATATATACACAGGTGTGACTTTCTGAAACAGCTAAATACGTATACTGATTCAGATGAGGGTACTTAGGATTTCCTCTTCTCTTTGGAAGCGAACCCCGATAACAACAGTACCTATTTATATTGAATAGAGTTTCTAAAGTGGTTTGTAAGCATGCATCAATACTAATTATGAATATAGTGAGGTAATGATGTCAGGTCATACACGTAAATATCACGGATCTTTATTGTCTGTAAATAAACTTTGGTACTGTGCTATGTCGTCTTTGCTATTATTTGAAGACAAATAAAGATTTTCCTTAACTACTTAACACTTCTAAACTTTGAAGAATATGTGACACGTTCAAATAAACATATTGTTTAAAATCAGCTATAATGCTTTTGACTCTAATTCTTATACTGTATATGGTTAAACCCGATCTCGTAGCTCTAGAATAAGTTGCAGCAAAACTCAATTAGCGAAACCGACGCATAAGAACGAAATAAAGAGTATCGTACTATTGCAACGCAGAAAAAACGAGAGATGACCACTTCATCAGAAGGATGCGATCGCGGTAAAAATTCTGTCACTACCGGCCATGGAGCGTATGACGGCCGGTAGCAAGGGATCCCCCCCCGATGACTGTAATGAGGACCCGGCGCTGCGGCGCCCAAGCCGGGCAAATTGGCGGCGTGTGCTGAGCTGAGTCCTCACTGTAATCGCAGTGGTGACAGGTGGGACTCGGTTCCCTCCTAGCGTCCGAGTGCAGGTACTTCCCAAAGCAGCCGTGCCCGGAAAGGACCAGAATTAAAGGGTCCCTTGCTGCCGCCCTGTCCAACGGAACGAAAGGCCGGAACGACCAACGATAAGATGGGACAGGCCATGCAACAAGAGGGCCTCCGGCTTATCCAGGGCCGCCCAGGGGCCCAATGCGCCCGACTACCAGAGAGGCTCCTCTGGTGGCTAGGGGTGTTGCCACTTGAAAGTCCGTCCCCCGTAAGCGTACAGCCCCCGGGCTGTAATTAGCGTATCATTGGCATAACAAATAACGCCCAGCCCGGGAGGGAACATCATCCACGTTCTCTATATGTTCCGCCTGTTGCGGTAATATTCCCTCCACCGCTTCCTGCAAGCTGGGCTGGGTTTCCATAAGGGGAAGAGGGAGGGAGCCAACGCGCGAACCTTTCGTCGCACCGCAAGATAAGGGCGACCCCAGGGGTCACGATCGAGAGCCTCCAGCATCTCCTTTCTTTTTACTTCTTTGGCGCGGCTAATGGCCGGCTTCAGAGTTTACCGCGCTTCTCGGCACTCCTCATGAAGCCGGTCCTCCGACTGAGGTCCGGTGTAGGATCTCCGGTCACGAGTACAGGCCGCGCGGAGGTCCGCCAACTCCTGGGACCACCAGTAGACCTCTTTCCTCTTTCCTTCGCCGACCTCGGATGCGGGGCATGGCCGCATCGTAGATCTGCGTAATCGCATCACGAAAACGACCAGCCCCCATGTCGACCTCCTCTGTTGTAGCCTCAAGAAACAGCCAAGAGTGAATAATGGTTGCCTCCTCTAGTAGGTCATAGGGGGAGCATCTAGGGCAGCCCTTCATATTAGTTAAAAAAAATCGATGGCTAGAAATACTCGAGCGTGTAAGATTAAGGTAAGTTTAGACAATTACATACACATTAGTGTGTGTATTCAAAAAAATCTGACGATTTGGGCTTGACATAAAACTATGGGAGTGTCACAAAAAAAAAAAACAATTATATTTATTTTGAAGTAAACAACGTAAGAAATCTTCTTTAAATGTCTGCATAATTTTTCGTGCCGTTCTTTGTCACATTTTATAAAAAATCAAAATACTTCTAACCGTTTTTGGCTACTAGCTGAACCGTCTGTATATAAATAATCTAACACGCTCGGTTATTTCGAAATGGCGATTTTTCTAATTTGCATTTTTGATAATTCGCTACTAGCTTGTGTCACTTTCAAATAGTCTGACCTTTCAATGGGAGAATTTTTGGCGTCTAAATAACATATTTAAAATATATAACTTTTACTCATTCACTTACCTAATCTTTCAAATGCCATTGGTCCCCATGACGCTCGAGTAAATCCACATTTAGCATCATGTGCTCCTCTACTATATGTTAAGCAGTTCCACATCGTCCACATCCTCCCCCTACCCCTGATTCTGATGGGAGTGACTGAAAGGGTGGCAACAAACTTGTGACTCTTGAGTCGCAGATGACCATGGACAGCGTTAGTCACTTTCCATCAGGTAACCCGTGACTTAGCTACAAATAAAAAGAAGTTCTGTATAAACAAAATAATGTATTAACAAAGTTTTTTACTTTGCAAAATACTAGTAAGAAGTAAGTATTATAAGAACTAAGTGTACCCATGTATTCAAACTATTATCGACATCTTTAAGTACATATTAGAACTATGTAGTGATGTTACTTTATGGCAGTTCAAATTTGTGACAAAAGATGGTGCTACTAAGAACGGATTTGTGTATTTGTTAAGAAGAAAATTAAAAAACCAAGATTACTTCAAAATTTAGTATGTAGTTTTATACAAAATCTGTCCCCATTTAGGTTTTTGAATATGATTATGTTTACGATGATATTTGTAAGAACTCCTATTTTTAATATATTAGACAATCCGTATATTTGATTGTATGTGTTTATCTTCGTTTAAAAAAACTAAGCCACTTGCCTAGTGCGCTTAAACGGACTTTCTTTTAAAACATCTATAGCATAAATGGATCTGATCTTATCTTTTATAAGTTGTACTGTCATTGTAAGGGTATAGATTTTTCGTATCAAGTACTGTGTAAATGCACATATTTATACTGGACACAATATACTTTTTCAAAAATATTTTACTTTATTTTAGCTTTTGCCACTTCTAATTGTAAACTGTTTTATTAAAAATTATTATTATCCGTCATTGCCATCGCCGTCTATGAATATTGACCTGAGGATGAAACGGTAAATGTCACCGTAACAGAAGCAGGTCAAAGTCGGCGCGTAAGGCCCTC